GGTCGACAATCATCTCCTTGGTCTTGTCGACCTCAGCGGGACTCAGGCCGTCCACACTCCCCTGTGTATCGATGGTTCAACAGTGGAGTTAGTGCACCGCTTCAAGTTTCTGGGGGTGCATATCACCGAAGACCTCTCTTGGACCCACAATACATCACACTTAGTCAAAAAGGCACAACAGCGTCTCCACTTCTTGAGGAGACTGAAAAGAGACGGTCTTCCACCCCCCATCCTCACCAGTTTCTATAGGTGTGCCATCGAGAGCTTCCTGACATGCTGCATCACAATCTGGTATGGGAACTGCTCTGTCTCTAACCGGGGAGCTCTGCAGAGTGTGGTGAAGACAGCCCAGTCCATCACCAGGACTTCACTGCCCACCATCCAGAGCATCAACAACAAGCAGTGTGTCAGGAGAGCACTTAGCATCATCAAAGACCCCTCTCACCCTTTTCGCAGTCTCTTTAGACCCCTGCCTTCTGGAAGACGGTACCACAGCCTGCGAGCCAGCACCACCAGGCTCTGGAATAGCTTTTTCCTGCAGGCCGTTAGACTACTGAATTCCAGACAGCACACAGACTGATCACCACCTGCTGAACAACCATCCACTGCTGTGCCATCACCACCATCTCACCGTAGTTTGCACTTGTCTCCCGCTCCCCCCCACCACCCCTGTATTTCAGAATGCTTGTTTGCACGTTACTACTTACACTACTGTAAATACTAATTTATTCATTTATTTATTTATCTATTTATCTACTCTTTACATTGTTTTATTTTTACTTATATACCAATACTACCTCAACAGCTGCCACTGATTCTCGGTTCCCCCCTTGTGTGTGTTCTTTTGCGTTGTACTTTGACAATATGCTCATTTCTAGTGGATTGTGCACCTTGGGCCAGGAGAAAATATATTGTGTTCCCTCTTGTAGATCTGCATAAGTGCAGAATGGCAGTAAAGTGAACTGAACTAAACCTGCTTTGTGGTGGAGCTGCTGGAAAATCAGGTGGTTGCATGCGTCAGTGCTGAATGAGGAAGCATTTTAGGGTGAAAAATTCAGTGGGAAGTCAGTAATAAATGTTTAAGATTGCATGTGTTTACTAACCATTTTACTTTTACAAAAAACTTAAATGGTAAAACTCTTGACTCATATTTGCTTTTTAAATCTTCCACTCTATTTGTCCTATAAGTGAAAATGTAATCTAAATAAGTGATTTTAATCCACTACCCCAGCTAGGGTCTAGGACTTTGTGACTCTGTTCCCTTCAGGGGTGGACAAGCAATCACAGAGACATTTCCTGCAGAATACTGGAATACTGCTGTTTGTAAAATCACACACATGGGTTTCTAACAGTGGGCAGGCAGTGCAGAATAATCACTTATTACACAGTGCTTCAATCAGACCTATCTCTCAGTCCCTGAGCTATTCTCGCGACAGTTAGAGAAGCATTTTGCGCTCCAATGGCTACTGGGAAAAAAGAAGAATTTAAGCAAAAGTAATTTAATGACAGGAGGCCATTTAGCCCATCAGGCTTGTGCACTTCTCTGGAGATTTTTTTGTTCAAGCACCATTTCTCTGGAAGCCCCAGTGTGTTGGCACCTATAATGTGTGTTTTCTTTAACACCTGTCCCTCAGAGAATTCTGTGAGGATGAGTGTGTGTTTTTGATTGTTTTACACACTGGATCCTTCCATCTGAATGCCCCTCAAGATCATTCCCTTCAGCATCCCAGTAGTGTGGCTTCCTTGCACAATAAATTAAACAGCCATTCCCTGAAATCTATTCATTTCCCTTACGCAATCACACACAAGACTGCTACACTTAATCTACTCGCCTAAAGACCTCAAATCTAAAGGCCTTGTGAGGGATAATCAAGCATGCCGTGTGTTACAATGCTCAATTTCAAATGATTAGTCTTGTGAAACCATGCAGTGAACCATTATAGTTTTGTTTTTAAAAATACTTTTGTTTTCAGTGCTTTTCTTTCAGTACATTTTTAAATGTTTTTGCTTAAACTATTTAACATTTATGAATTATTCTTTGATCTAGAGTATACAATTCTGAAGCAAGCATGATGCCAGTGCCATGAGAAAGTACACACTGGAATATAATAAGTAAAAGAAACGACTTGTAGTGTATATCGGGCATTAGTACTTCTGTAAGTGTTAATCTTCTTCAATCCTTTTCTCTGCCATCACAAATATTTTTCTCAGAGAATACTGAAACTGCTGGAATATTATTTCTTATTCTATTTATACTTGTACCTACTGTATACATTCTCTCATATACCACAGTGTTTCTCAGTCGTGGTCCTTGTTCTGGATAAGGACCACTGTGTTTGCTGATTATTGTTCCAAATGTGCCTCTAATCAATTGGTGTTCATCAATGCACAAACAGTAATTGATTGGCTTGTTTGTTTATTGTGTGGTATTTTTCTACACTCAGTCAGCATAATCAATTTGCAAATATAGAATATGATCCCCAGTTTATTACTAAACATCTCTAATAGGTTAACAATCGCTGATGAAGAGACACAGGTGGAGATGACAACATTACAAGTTACAGTACATTCTAGCAAACATACCTGAATTAGTTCAAGTACAGTAGGTAGCTGCGCCAGCATGCGTAGGCTGAAAAATGTAAAGGTTTATTCCATGCTGAAAAGAGAAGAAAAGAAACTCAAGCTTTCGGTAACATATCTGAATGTATTGTATGGCAAGCCAAACTATCTGTCTGAGAACTGTCTAAATCTTTTTAAGATATCTTTAAATATTAACATGAACTAGATATACAGTATTATTAAATCCTTTAAAGACTTGGCATATGAATGAAGGGATTTCTGAAACTCAGGAATTGGCACAGGGTTGATACCAATTACAAACCCATAAAAAACTATAAAACATTTTAAGGCCTTAAAGAAAAAAACAATTTAAAACACACTTCCAACAGAAAATTGAAATCCATGTGCCTGTTATTAGGAACATGACTGGAGCAAAATGCAGGGCTGAGAACTACATGCATGGAAAAAATTAAAATTAGAACAACAATACCATACCAGGATGGAGAAATTAACAATAATCTTTGTTGGAAAAATCATGAATTTATAGTACAAACAATATGCACTTATGCAGAGAGTTCCCAGTAGCCAGCTGGCATGATGTGTTTTTCCAGCTGCTTAGTTCTGAGTCAACATTTACAGTATCTGTTAATCACCTGCTCACCAATCACTGTTTGAAAATAGCCTTTGTTCAAATAATGTTTTATTTGCTTACTGTTACAATTTTAATGCAAAATAATTACCAGATTGGCTTCATAATCCCATTACAGTGTCTTGCAAATGTATTGGATGCTTTCACAATTTGCATTTTGCATTGCTTTAAAGTCAGTAGTCATGAAACTGTAGCAACTGAAGTACCAGTTCATATATGATATGTACACAACCCAAAAAAACATAAAAAAGTAAAATTTATGATTGCGTTATTACTCCAATCTCTTGCTATGGCAAACCTAAATCAATTTTAAAAACCTATATACAGTATTGTACAGTACATTACAGCAGTCCAGTCCAGTCCAGTGGGGCACTGTGAGTCCTGACCTTGTCCTACTCTATTTATGCTTTGTGCAATATGGCATGAGGGATGTTTCTGTGTGGACATAAAGGCTTTGTCTCTCATGACGTCTCCCACCAGAAGACACTCCTCACATCATCTTTTGCTGCCACACCCAGGAAGATCTGCAAACTGTGTTGTGCAGTTGTGCAGATCTGCAGTGTCTCTTAAAGGAGTAGACATCTGAGTGACCTTCATCACTGTGCATGCCTGTTCAAACACTCGCGGTGTCTAAAGATAGGAAAGTGCTTCTAGCTTTGTTAAACAGATACATCCTCGGAAGTCACTGAGAGTTCTGGTTTTACCACTCTATTATGTCAAGGTTCGTCTGAGCTCTAGAATACATCAGAATCCACATCAGTGCTTTTACTGCCTATTGAAGTTTGTGTATACAGACTCTGTGTTGACACATCATTTACATCTTCATAACAAAATGGGGAAACAAAATAAAAATCAATGGTAAGATATACATTGTAGTTAAAAAAGTAGAATTTAAATTACAGGTTGATAAGTTATAATTGTTTTCAGTGCTACTGTGGCCTCATTCAGAATATTGTGTACAACTATGATGACCATATTATAGAATATATAGGATTTATTTTCCTTTGTAACCTTAACAAACTTCTTGTAATTTTTTTAATGTAAACACTGAAATATAGGTCAATCTGATCCTTGTACTTTATATATAAGACGTTTAACTAATATTTGTACACCGTTCTCAGCACTTGATTGCACTACTGAGATTTCTTGCTGTCAGGAACAGTTCTTTACGGACCCTATGCAGACGACACAATCCGGGGTTGAGTGAGGAAACACTGGGGAAAAGTCATGCAGGATACGTGAATAAAAACAGGGGGCATGTCCATGGAGTGCTGGTGGTTGGGCGAGGTGTGAGCGAGGCAAACAATCCAGGGTTGAGTCCAAAGAGAAATCCAAAAACAGGGCATAAGTCTAAGGCCAGGCGATCCATCCGAGACAGAAGATTAAAAACCAGAACCGGGTCAGGACGGGCAGGGGGAACAGGAACAGAAGCTTAAAAGCATAACAGAGCCAGACACATCCAGGTCCCGGGCTCGCATGATGCATGAACCAATGCAGAGCCCAGATTAGTCTCAGCGTCTGGCTTTTAAGGGGGAACTGAAAAGAGGGCTGGAATAGGGAACAGACGCGGGAGATGAAACAAACAAGGTAGGGCTGGAGCACCCTTAAGAGGAGGGGTTTGCGATTGTGACACTTGCTGTACTGATCACCATTGCCAGTTGTAACATGTCTTATTCTGAGTTATATTGAGATAATGTTGACTTTGAACAGATAAACACATTCCAGTCCTGCTCATGTTTGAACAATCCCCGTCTCACCCTCCACTGCCCTCTCTCTTTGTCTCCCTATGCAGCAACTACACTGCTCTCATAGGAGTTTGGATCTACGGATTTTTTGTCATGGTCCTGCTTGCCCTGGACTTCCTGTACTACTCTGCAATGAACTATGAAATGTGCCGGTACTACCTGGCCAAGTGGGGCTTCGGAGGGCGGTGGCTGAAACAGGCGCGGAGTCAGTGGAACAGTCCAGTACAGGGAGAGAATCAGCCATCCCTCCAGACAGCCCATCAGACCCCACAGCCCAGACACAGCCTCAGAGCGGAAGCAGCCAGTCCCACACTCATGTCCTTCCACACCACGACAGCCTGGTAAGAAGCCCTAGAAGGTCTCACCTCGTGCATTAAAAGTGCTATTATTTTGAGGAAAAACTAGCAATACAGTAGGTGCTGAACGCAATGTTGATACAGTACCAAATGCAAGAGCTTTAGCTTCACTTTTGTTACTGTACATGAAAGTTCCACTGTAGCAGGAATGCAAGAGTCAATGTTATGATTCTAAGACTATTAACTTTATGAATTCACTTCTCATTCCTTTGCGTACTCTGACTTAGGAGCAACATTTCTATGCAAAATTAACCTTTACACTGATAAGCCATTATTCATCTATAATAACAAAGGATTATTTATTCAAAGCATTGCCAGATTTAAGTTTCTTTCTTTAAAAAAGGAGCTAATTGAAGACAAAGGCCAAACTTTGGAGGCGCACACTGTATTTTTTCTTCCAGAATTAGAGGGCAGCTGTAACTACATTTACATTGTGCAATTAATTAATTCTAAAAGACTGCTATTGTTAAAATATAAAAGATATCCAACCAAATGGAAGATGTATATTGAAAAGAACTGAGTGCATGAATGCATTACACCATACTTCTTTGACACACATTGTAATGAGAGTGTGATTTATATGACTTTCCTGGAATTCATTAAGAAATACATACAGTATCTTGTTAGCTTCCATTGCAGATAAGTTGCCATGGCATGCACAATGGAATGCACACTATTGGATATGCAATGTGAAAGCAATAGTATTTCATCCAGTGCTTTTTCAGTATGTTATACCTGTGGTTAATTTGCTGGTCCAATCATAGGATTCACTTGAGTGATCAATACAGGTCTGGAGAGCCCAGATTCAGAAAAAGAAGATGTTAATGTTACTTAGCATTACTTCCACACAGGAAACCCAAATGAACTTATTCATTCTGATGTAGCAAACTGAAGCTTGGTAACAGCCCCCTCCTTCCTGATAGTAAATTAGACACACCTGCCTTGATTAGCTAATTTGCCTCCTGTGGAATGGAGCCAGAAAAAGGATACATATGATTGGCCCTGTGCATGATTGGAGAATCCTCAGGAAGAAGTTAGTATATAAACAGTCAAGTGCAGTGAGCAGGGAGATGTGTAAGATCCTACAGTTCAGGGAGGGTGAATGTGTTAGTGGCATCTGGAATTGTAGAAAGTTTAGATAGAGGAGTGTTTATTCAACTTCTGTGTTTTAAAATCTGCAGCCATCTGGCAGTCCTACAGTACCTCCAGTTTAGATTTGAAAAGTTAGAAAGCTAAAATGGAGACTTGCAAGGATTTTGTTTTGGATTGGGTTCAGCAAGATGGATCCAGGGTGAATTTATCATTTTTAGTATGTACTGTATTCCTGGATTAGTTTGGATTCTCCATAGTCTCTATGGAGTAGTAGACTGGCTGGGTGTTGAGTTAAGCCTCTGTGGAGAGAATATGTGCTTTGCTATAGATGGGAGAGCCTGCCTGAGTGTGGCAGGGGTTTCGGGGAAGGAAAAGATAAGGAGTGTTTCACTGCGCAACAGAAATGTAGAACTAAGAGGGGTCTGTTCTAGCTCTTCCAGTAGGATACAGAGGACTGAAGAGTTCTTCCATAGGAGAAGAGGAACTGAAGATCTTTTGATGACTAACACCTCTAATATAATACTACTACCTCATTCATACATCTGTAGATTTCCATTATTGTGTATATATATATACTGTGGAGAAACATGAGATTATACTTTATTTATGGATATACATAAGGAGAAACAAGCTCTTAAAATATACTGTATGCCCACTCATTTTAATATTGTTCTGATATACAGTGGATTTATTTTTGTGAACTATAGTGTCACTTTTAAATATCAATGAAGGCAGGTCAGAGGATTTTAGCAATTTCATTGATACAGTATATATCCATTGTAACCTAAGTGACTGAATTCAGAATCATAAATGAAGATATACATCCCTTACTCACTTGAGGAGTACAGTTTTTGCAACTCTTTGAACAGTAATAGAGGCCTCCAGAAGCAAAGAACAGCTGGGAAGAGAGTTATGACCATCTAAAGCCATAGCCCTGCAGGAACTAGAAAACCTAGGAGACATCAGCCAGATGGCCAAAATCAACACCCATAAATGAAATTCCATTGTAACCCCAACACAAAGATTAAACAACCCCAGTAACTCCAACATTTCTGCAGATTTAATTAATTCAACCAAATTAACATTCCTACACAGATGACACCATCCATAACTGCTCTGGTTATGCATTGAATTTCCCTTCATTTCACCATTAACAAGGAACAAAACAAGCTCTAATATAATTGCCTTTAAACCATAGAAATAATTAGAAAAAAGTTATGTCAGAGGTCATTGTTAGGTCTAAAAACAAAAGGTCTTTGTATAACAAGTACTGCAGGAAAAAAGTTGCATTTTAACTCAAAAACCCAATAATTACATGTACATTGTCTGCATTGTCTATCTTTCCCAGGATGTATTTCCCTAGTGGCGAGATAAAGCAAGTGATCTGGGTTTTCCTAAAAACAGGGCCCCATTATGGAAACCAGAGACAAGTGGTATCATTCTGTCACGTGATCATTAAAGATCACATGATGCAGATTGTAGTGGTGTGGGTGTAAACCTCATGAAGTGCTAAATTCCGTTTTGGACTTACACAATCTGTCCTAACTATATTCCCCCCTAAATTCCATTTGTAAAGTAGTCTTTCTCTTCTCCAAATGATCTGCTGTGCAGTGTTGCAAATGGTGTATAATATCATCAATCTGTCATCCAGGGTAGTGCTGCACTTCAGCAGTGGATATTGTTACTATTTTCTTTTTTTTCTGTCTTTTGGTTTCATTTAAGAACTATGAGCACCTACTAAATGGCCAAAATCTGTTTGCAGCACAACTTGAAAACACAGACGAGGTACTGTGTCTGGGTGACATACAGAATAAGGTAGAGTGAAAGTTCAAAAGGGAGGGCAGAAATATTAATAGAGGTGCACACAGTAGGCGCCATAAGAGTAATTTAGGGAGAACTGAATATTTTGAAGCAGAATCCTGTCACTGAAGGCAGGGAGGAGAAGTGTGTGCCCACCCCCCACCCCCCAGTATAAGATGTGTACGTGAAGGAAAGGTCATGAGGAGTTCAAATAGTTACAGATGATGACAGGGTGACTCTGGACGTGTTTCAATCTGGAGGAGCAGAAGAGGGTTAGGAGGATATAAGAGGGGAAAAAATGAGGGCAATAAGGCAGAAGAACTGCATTGCAGGAATGTGTGGGATGGAAAGTTACAAATAGCTAAGGCGATAGTATGCAAGTGAACAGACGGCAATAGAAGTTGTTGTCCACCACTCCTTAGTAAAAGTGATTACTGTAGGAGAGCTATGGGCTTAGCTAAAATCTGTGTGGTACTCATGAAAGGTGAGCCCACCAAACAGATGATGAGATCAAGAGTAATGGACAAAGTTCATTTTAGAAAAAGCGAGACAGAAATCAGAGATTGTCAGGTGTTTGTAAGGGATGGGGTTGGCAGACTTTAGGGTAATGGGAAAAAGAGCCACAGTTTTCAGCTCTGGAACAAACACAGGAAGGTTGATGATGCAGAGGAGAAGGGAGGACAGGTTAATGTTCATACCTGCGATTAGTTGTTCATTAGGGGAGAGGCTGAGGGAGAGAAGGAGGCGTTCTGGGACTCAGGTCCACCAGTGGCATGTGGACCAGAACAGGTGAAGCGACCACAGGGGATGAAATCAGAAAAAAGAGAGGAAGTCAAGGTCTGACACTGTGCCAGGCCGGACACCAGCATGGTGTCTTCTTCTTGCAGATCAGACACATGCATCTATAACAGTTATCTACAACCAGTATGGGTCCACTTTGTACTTCAGGATGGAACTTGCCAATTGTTCACCTAATTCATACAGTAGCTACTGTTAGTTATCGTGATAGATTATTTTAAGGGTGTCACTTTTGTTGACAATTTAACGTCTTCACTTTTTTCTTTGCCTTTTTATTGGCAGTCCATAATGTTGTTGCTATCTACTGCGACTGTTGACATGGTGGGCCCACAGCATCGACATTTCAGATATTAACATCATTTTTCAACACATACTACTACTTGCTGTCTTCCATCAATTCCTCCAGACAGGAAGTACAGAACCTTAATTTAAATTATATCCAACCTAACTGTTGTTACCTAGGAGACAAAATAAGAAGTGTGTGTGTAAAATGTAATATGTTGATGTTGGATCATTCCTTTAGAACAGAGTGTTTAAACAATCATTAAAATCATTCCAGAAATGTAAAATAATTATTTAGAAGTACATTATTCCCTTTTTATGCTGATTTATTGCTTGTATGCATTTACTTATAATATATAATATATAAATAACAATATATATATAAGACAGAGAAAAGAACAGTCTCCAATAGTGCAGACTATTCTGAGGCTATGGCACAAAAGAGCAGTAAGTAGGAAACGGCACAAGTCTATCTGGGGATGGAGACCCACTCATTGAAGAGCAAGAAAGAGCAAGATGCAATTACGAAACTGTTACCCAGGGAAAAAATACTATTGAAAAAAAATAAAAAGGAAATTATGCATAGTGACTGTACTAAATAGCTTTTCTATTACTGGCTATTTCCAGGTAATTTTCTTGTCTTAGAAAAATGTGCTGGAACTGCTTTGAAGTGAAAGTTTTTTTTTGTGAGCTCGTGTCTCAGTGCTGCATTCTTTAAAGTATTCAAAACATCTCTCCATGGGAAGTGAAATGACACATGAAAGAATTATTGTGATGAAGTGTGTGAGAGCAAATAGTTATTCTCAAAGTGATTAGCTCATATACTCCATGCCCAGTTTTGTTACACAGCAATATTGCAGAGAGAAGGGAGTGTTGTACTATATATACATTGGTTTAACACTTAGGGGTTTGAAGGTGATAAACAAAAATACACACCTACTACAATATAAAAAATTGTCTATACCAGTGGTCATGACGTTGGTAATCTCAGAAATTTTAATTAAAGGAGCTCTGGGCAGACAACAAGAATGTTCAGACTTCATTGAACTTGGGACAATTGGACAAGCAGTGTGGACATATGGCATTCAAACAATTGAAGCCTCTGTTCAAATTACATCCTATTAGCCTGCCTATTCATCTCCTTTTCAATTCTTCACTCCATAATCTCCAGTTTTAGCTATACTATATGTTATGTTATCTTTTCTGCTATCTCAGCTACTACTTTTGCTGCCCTTACTTATCTTATTGACATTATGATAATATATAGTATTACGATTCTGCTAATGATGATGATAATGCTGATAAATTACATTTTTAGCAATACCAACAGAAACGACAGAGACCTTTAGCCCAATGATACTAAACCTGTGGCCCTTCCAGTAAGCTTTGTTGCACAGTCTCTTTAATTATTTAGTTGGTGATTAACAGGATCAAGATACCAATCAAAGAGTTGGTTACAACAAAAAACTGCAGTAGAGTGGTTTGGAAGGACTGCAGGTTGAGTGTCCTTAACATAGTTCATCAATTATAAATGCCGCTGTCCACTTGCAGTAGCACCACAGCATGAAAAGTAACTCTTGTACCTTTGGCTTCAGACTACATACTCTTTTACAGAGAAAGCACATCATAAATTCTGCATAGAATTCCAGACAAATCCATCTGTTCTTAATAACCTCTAATTTCTGTTTCAATTGCCTTTGATGAAAGTCAGTACTTGGAAATCTGTCAGATTGTGAAGTCTGATTATTCCTTTTTTGTTGCTACTTTTTTTTCTATGAAATAAAAAAAACTCTCCATTTCTCCATGTTTCACATTCAAGCAACATATAATTTGAAATGACAGAAACAAATAAATTAATAATGCATAGTACATATTACAGATTTTAAAAAACAACAAATGTTTTGCTTTATATATTTTTCAGCAGTAATCAGAGAATGATCAAAAGGCCCCACAAATAAAAAATAATTACAGTCTGTCTATTTGACTGTGGTAGTGGATATGGGGCAGGTGGATCTCAATGACATAGTTTAGACTAAGTGTGACCTTCTGTGGTCCTGGAGATGTCACAAACAGTTCTTTCCGGGCCCTATGCGGACGACACGATCCAGAATAGTGAAGACACAAGGGGAAAAATGGTCATGCAGGAGAAGGGTCAGGAGACGGGG